CATTCATCAACAGTGACTTTGTGAGTTGGCACTTGATAATGCATCATTTGATCGTTGCTCAATACATGAACTCGATAAAAAATACGGGTTCGACTGTTTGCTTGTAAATGCTGATGATTCCGATCCTGTATTTGATGCTAGTCTATTAAATTAGTCTAATAGATTAGTCTGAAGCTGCTCGGGATGGACCCGAGGTTGCTGCTGCTAGTGATGCTGGGTTGGTTGACTTTACTGGTTCACTAGAGTCAACTGTTGATGCTGGTCCGGATGATGAGTCTGAAGCTCGATTTGCTATTGCAAATTACTATTTCAATAACTAATTAGAGTCCAAATAAGGGACATTGAATATTGAGATTCGAAATACTTTGGTGATAACTAAGTCAAAGGGCAAATATGCAGTCCGACAGAAAAGATGATGATATCGAGATGAAACCATAAATCAGTGTAAAAGCTGGTTGAAATACCCTGTATTATGACAGAACTTGATATCGAAGTCTAACTCTGAGTTGTGAATAACAAATAATTGAGCAGCTTGCAAGTATTATATTTCATTTCCTGTGAAACTCGACATTTTGAACGTTACTATGAATACTTGCATGGTTAAAATTGATTTTTCCCTGATAATTACTGTAAGTTTATACATTTTCAATATTTTTGCGGTTATTCCATCTCTCAGAACAATTATAATTTCTTTCTTTTCTCACATTCTCATGATTTTTGTTTTGAAAAATTTACAAGAGAGCTTAAAGTGAAAGAGAAAAGAAAGAAAAATCATTAATTATTCTGAGAAATGGAATAACCACAAAAACATTGAAAATGTATGAACTTACAGTAAGGAACAGACTAATGAGCTGAGAAAAATTCATAAACGGTTCCTAATTAAGGAATAGTTAACCTTATAAGACTTCAAATTTCATTGCAATTTCTTTAATTATTAATTAACACAAATTTTCTTTCGTAAAATTTCAATAAAAAAACTCGAGAAACATGTTTAATTTCATCTATTAAGCAAGATTGAAAATCATTAAAGTACGTGAATGAAGTATTTCAAGAAGCTCTTTTAGCACTCAAAAGTTGAACGAAAGAGAAAGATTATTCAGGAGAAATGAAATTTCATTTTTCGGACTTTATCGTTGATCCATGTTTCAATGGAAATGAACTTGCAAATTGTTTTCAAATTTTCTTTCAAATATCCATTTTATTACATTACCATATTGTCACTGAAGTTGTAATGATTTTATTCAAACCTTTTCATCGCAATAACCTTAGGATTCCATTACTTAATCAATTTCATTATCCTTTTTATGAGTCTTTTATTTTCCTACTTTTTCTTCATATTCAGTTATTATTTCTTGTCTCACTTTGATTTGTATATCATTAATAATAATAGCTTTCCCTGTATCTCTTGCTCGATCAACATAACAATAATGATAGTCATCATCATAAGTAGCCATTTCATTTCATTCCCTAATCATGATAATATTCAATATAAATTTGCAAATCGACAAACAAGTCAAAAGAAGAAAAAAATGTCATTTCATTATTTCTGATTGCAGCGAGAAAAAAAAGTTATTCAAGACTGAAAATCATTCATTACCTATCATAATTATCATCATCATTAGTGTTCAATTTACACAGAATTCAGTGTCATTCAGAGTTGCATGGAAAAGATGAGTAAACGTTATCAAGGATGAAACCTTTCAATCCAAACAACAAAGTTTCATAAATCATCATTCAGAGCTTTTCAAATGAAATTATCAAAATGAGATTTGAGGAAAAAAAGAGAAAAGTTTTTTCCATCTTCGATCTTGAAAACAATTGTTTACTCAATATCATCATGGGTAATGAAAGGTGTAAATTTTAAGAAGCAATTATCTATTCAATCACTATTTACTCAGCAATTGAATAGCATTAATTCAATATCAACACCAATCAAGTGAATCAACATTTAATGTTAATCTCATTTTTTCATGAAGTGAGTTTGAACATTACAAGACAAATAGCCAAGTGAGATGTTTAATGTCATTAATCGTCCATTGAAGGTTCATCAGGCAAAAGTAGAAGTTGGAATTTTTTCCATCAAAAAACATTCTTAATCTCATTCTGATGATAAAAGCTCAGATTAATATGATCTATTAGTATAATCCATTTGTTAATAAAAAGCTCAACAATTGGTTTAAAGTTTTTTCCTTTTTTTGTTTCAATTCTTTACATCAATCAAGTTGATTGTACACAAGTTTACAAGATTTCAGAGAAAACTGTTTTTGGATTGAACTGAATTGTTGAACTCAATATATCTCATGTTGGCACAAATATAACGAAAGCTGAATCAACTTTTAAAGTCTTTAGGAAATGATAAGGAAATCGGTCCAATTGGTTCATTCAATTTTTTACTCAACATTTACATTTACTTCAATCACTGAGTAACTCAATCTTTACAGAACTTTGCAACTGTCACTTTAATCATGACAATGTTCAGTTAATGTCAAAACTATTCTCAATTAAATTTAGTCTTGGAATCGAAATAAAATTGCAAATCAAATCAAAGTTAACAATATTATAATGAATACAATGGCATGTACTGTTTGACTGATATTGGGCTTGAGCTTACTGAATTGTGAATGATGCAAGGTAAAAGTATCATGACTTTCATGGTAAAATTGATTGAACAAAGAAAATGTTGGGTTAAGTAAGAAAGAGAAGTTTAAGAAAAAAAAGTAGAAAAGGAAAAAGTTGCATCAAGAATATCAAAATCAAATAAAGTTGGTTAATCAAAAGAGGAACCAGTCTTTACCTTGTTTTTACTTTACTTTTGCAAGATAACCATTTTGACCAGTTTCAGTTTTACTTCAGTTGGATACAATCATGAATCACAGAAGGGAAAAAAAAGTATTGATAGATTAAGATCATTTCCTTTCATTGACTTCAATATGCTTGGAAAGTCAATTAGAGGACAATTGCAGTGTCCCTCACCTGTATCATCATGGATATACATTTTCATTTGTTCATCACTTACTTTGCTCACTTTTACAATTCAACCGGATATTGAATGTCCATTGGGTCAGAAAAAAGTTAATCAATAATAATGGCATCATTAAAATGGATCAACAGAGTTGGAAATTAATTTTTCAAAGGCAATTCCACTCACAGGTTCAATGTAATTATTCAGTGAGACAAAAGCGATTCCAGAAAATTGACCCTTTTCCAGCTAAATTAATTTCTGTCTAAACATTTCAACATGAACATGAGATTTTTCATCAACAGACTAACTGTGCATTTACACGAACCATTTCCTTGATGAAGTCGCAATGAATCTTAAGTGCTCAAAGTTGCCATTGATTTGTTGGTCGAAGAAATGAAATTTCAAAAGTTGCAAAACAATCAGTAAAACATATAATATCTGAACAAAAACAAAAACATTAGCAATATTAACTTGAATCTTAATGAGAAAATTATGAAGTCAGAATCTGGAAAAGTTTCAATTTTTGAATTCCAAACAATCGATAAATTTTCATTGATTGATAAAAGGTTTTAACTAGATGATATCGAGCTGTTCTTAAGAAACAAATTTTTGAGTTTTCATGATTTAGCTTTTTTGACTCTGAAAGTTAATATTGTCAGTTTGTTTCTGACAGTTGATTCAGTTGGACCTTATGGATCTAACCTATTCATGCGATATTAATTACGTTATTATTTAGCACTTTCAACAGTCATCTGTGCAGACTGATTAATAGACTTTAATTTTCTAATTATTCAATTAATTACTTTGATCAAGTGTCATCTTATGCCAGTATAATTGCCAATCATTCATCAAAATTATCATAATTCAGATATAAGTGACTAATTAGAATCCATTGGTTGGTTCAACAACAGTCAATCATTGCTTGTAATAACTCGAGCTTCCTTCCAGCTTAGCCTTATATATGTTCATGTGTTTACTGTTGAAGGAAAATGAAGTTCAAATCGCTTACAGCTTTCCATCGATTGAATAACCAAATAATCAGGAGAAAGGAATAAACATTTTAGTTCCAATTCGTAAATTCTTAAATGGAAATTCCACTTTTCATCAGACATGGTAATTGAATTAAATTGAAATTCCAATTGCAAATTGATTCAACTTTTCGACATTTCGATTCCAATCTTCTATTGTCAATAATTAAAAATATTTTAACCGAAACACTGAATGCTTAATAAATCATCGACATCATCTTCATTAACTCTTTTTTCACCATTTGTCTTCTTCCTTCCTTTCCAGATACATTTATTTTGTGGAAATGTTCATGACCATGGCAATGAAACATTAAAGTTACTCAATAAAAGTCTAATTGTCAGGTTTTTTCCGTTTATTCAGTGAAAATTTCCCCCAAATAGATTAATCAACTGCAAAAGTTCAACAATCATAATTATTGGGGAATTGAATTTAACAAGTTGATATTTTTAGGTGAAAACAATGATTGAATCGTTAATTGTAGCAATTGCTTTGAAACTCCCATTGAAATGAGCAATTGACTTTGATTGGAAACATATTCAACTTTGTTTTCTTTGCTGAATAACAGTTTAATGAGCAATAATTAACAAATAGCTTTATACCCAATCATGAAATAATTTATTAGACTATTAAAATTCAAGGTTCCCCCGTTGATTATCATGTTCATGATTGATTTAACCTGTTGACAGAGTAGTTGTCAATTGCTTCCTTCAACTTCACTAGACTTTTCATCAAAATTTTACTTTAATTTTGTTCACTCAAAGTCTTTTTTGATTAGTCTAATGCTCAACTGGTTAAAAAAAGTGAGAAAAATTTGCAACCAATAAATACAGTAAACTGATTAGATACAGGTTTACTGCCAAAAAATGCAATATTTCAACACCAATTATGAATGAAGCATAAATAATGATCAACCATTGGAGTTGAGCCAGGTTTGGATGAGTTTGAAAATGAGCTTTAAATGAGGTTAAAATGAGGTTAATGTAAAGTTGAAAATGTTTTGATAGCTTACCTAATTGATGAGGAACCAAAGGGCATGATAATTTGTGTGACCCTTGAACTGCTGGAGATGACATGTCAAGGTATTCCATTGAATGGTTACTCTTTGATGGAAGTGAATCTTTCAACTGATTACTGGGCACACGTGGAAAGGCCATGGATGGTGAGGAAGTTTGAAGGGAATCGGTTGATGAACTAGCATTGAATTTGACTAAACCATTGGCCAGTAAACCAGCTTTACGATGCGCTTTAATACTTTTGATTATCATCTTGACTCGCTGTGCGTTGACCAAATTTTGAAAATAATTTGAATTTGATTGATCTCTAGATGCTGTAGTTTTATCGAGAAGAGCTTCAATCCGAAGTAGTTGAGGTTTCTTTGGTTCTTGTAAGCCAATTGATGATGGAGATGATATGGAGGGTAACACTGAACTATTCAATTTATCCTTTGAAATATTTTCATTAATTGTATTATCACTAACTGAATAATGTTCATTTGATGAGGTGAACACATTATTCCCATTTCCAGATGATTGAATTTGATTCACTTTTCGACGTGAACCGATTGATGCTGACATTGGTATTGGTGACAAGGTGGAAGATAATGAGTTTGAAGATGAAGATGAGGGTGACGATGAAGGAGTGGAAAAGGAGGAAATCTTATTAACCGTTAGACGTCGATTAGTGTGGATAACTGCAATTTGCATGAGAGTGACAAATATCAAGGAGACGACAAAGAGTAGCAACAATATTGACGGAAGAAGACGTAAAAATCTTTTGACGGTTCGTCGAAGTAAAGGTTTCACTGGTGGCACTGGAATGGGTATCAAATGGTATGAACGACTTGATGTGATGACCATTGTCACAGTAATGATGAGGATTGACCAGTACTGATTGGTATGCAGCAAAATTATAACCATCAACTATTGAATTCTGTGCATATTCATGTGTCGACATTTCCACATTACATTTGGGATTGAACAAAATTTAATGGCAAATTCACATGTTACGGTATCACTTGAGTTTCAATTATCACAGCCACTTCTTTTCATTAAGCGCAAATTAACTACTGATTTATAAACTTTAAATCCTCTTTTGTTGATTTGTTAAACAAGAATAAATGAACAACTGATTGATTAATTTTTAGCTTAAATTTAGTTGAAACATTGCATGTTACTTTTGAAAATTGATGTTAACACTGTTAACATCATTCAACTGAGCCACATGCTTTTTTGTTGCTTTTTGTGTGAATGTGTGTGTTTTATCATTAAAGGTGAACAAATTGTTTGACAATGTCAAAAGGTAACATTGAACAGTTATTGTTGGTTAATTGCAACACTTTTAATCAAAAACTATGTGCTACAATTTGATTAAAACTTGCTTGCCAAGGTAAAAAAATTAGATAAAAAGAGTTGGAGAGCGGTAAGGTAAAGATTGTAACTATGACTATTAAGCTGTGGTGATTGCATGCAATTGTGTTGTGAGCCTGGAAGGTTTAGTTTTATTCATCTTCAAGTTTGTCTCATTGAGTAAACTCTGAAAGTTGGATGAATCGACTTGCGCTGTTGTTGTTGGATGATAACCATGTGAATCATGGAGATAAGTCTTTTTCATCTGCACCTTTTCAGAATGCTCACTGAAAGCGATAGTGATATCTGCTGTCATATTATTGAATTACAGTCTCTGATACACTGCTGATGAGAGTCCATGAAATAACATGTTTTTATGATACCTTCTAGCACTTTATGGCACAATTTATGATTTATATCTGAATGCATACAATTCGTAAAACTAGTTGGCATGTGAAATTCATAAAACTCAATTTTGTTGGTCAAGATTCACTGTTGGAAAATACGACGAAGAAGGATTGTTAATATTATGATGCAAAAATTGGTCAAAAAACAAGTATAGTTTCTGAAAGTTTTACCGGAGTTTCAAATTGATTCTTAAACATTTTATTGTGTAAATAAAAAATCAACATTATTTTCACCATTTTTGAGATATCACTAGATATCTAGATTCCAGAGGATAGTCAATATTTTTCGTCTCAGTAGTAATAAAGGTACACAAGTTAGGACACTTTTATTGATTTTTTATCGACACGCTGACCGAAGCAAGCAAAGCTAGAGATGATTAATTTACATTAAACATAAATCAAACAAACCATAATTAATATTGATAATACAATTAGAAGTTTCGTACAATACAATTTCGTTGTAAGCGAATATAACTCAATACAAGTTATATTTATAATAGTATTTAATTGTATCTATGTACGTTTTGACACAATAAAAAACAAAATGATTTACAAATTTGTTTTTTAACCCTTTGAATTACTTTCAGAACAACCGCACCTCACTTAATTAGATTTGAAAAAGCATTATCAAAAAATCTTGAAATATTGCAAACTCACTGGAAGAATAATTACGATTAAATTAGATAAGAAGTAATTTATTTAGTAAAGCTTTTACACACTATTTAGTGACCAAGGTAAATCAAATATTTTAATCAAATATCCACAGTCTTGCGTGCTTGATAATAGTTAACTTAAAAAAATTACAAAAGGCACTTTACTTATTCATTAATACAATCATTCTCGTTTGTTTAGAACCAACTTTCATATGAACAAAACCAGAATTCAAAAGAGTAAAACCGGCTGACTGTAAAGACACAGAGCTTTCAAAACAACAAAACCAGCTTTCAAATGACCAAAACCTACTTTCATAAGACAAAAACTCTCGAGTTAAAGAGTTACTTTATTCAGAGTATGCAAAGAGGATTATCACTGATTTTTCCAATGAACTTCCATTGAAGATGGTAAATCACAATTAATAAGTCAAAATTTATCAAAATGTCAACTTATATTCCAAGATGTCTCAGAAAAGAAACAATTAACAATTACCGAAACAGTCTACACCATGAATAAAGATGCTTCTTTAACTCGAGAGTTTTTGTCTTATGAAAATGAGTTTTGGTCATTTGAACGCGGTTTTTTTGTTTTGAAAGCTCTGTGTCTTTACAGTCAGCCGGTTTTACTCTTTTGAATTCTGGTTTTGTTCATATGAAAGTTGGTTCTAAACAAACGAGAATGATTGTATTGATGAATTAGTTTTTCTTTTGTTTTATTTTGCAACTTAATTTTCCTTGAATTCTGTAATAACCTCATCAATTACATAAGTTAATTTCGAAAGAAGAAGAAGAACATGGAGAGTTAATAGCTGAAAAAAGTAGAGATCCGTTTCGTTCAACTAAAAATTCAACATTTGGAGCTGAAAATAAAAGGTAAAGGTAAACCGGCAAAACAAGACCAATGATTACGAGACGCTGTCTTGGAAAGAAAGGTAATAACTGAATTTGGAGTGAATTGGGTGTCAGTATTACCAGAAAATTTGGTAACTAAAATTCTCGAATCATATCACAATGATCCGATTTCTGGACACCCAGGGTTACTTCAAACATACAAGAAAATTCAACCGAAAAAGTAGTGATAAAAAAGGAAAGCAAACCAATCCAACCTAAACACAAGGTGATCCGGACAAGAAGAAGCAGAGTTTTGCTAATATCTTTAGCATTACTGTACTTCCTTGCCTTGGTTTGTGGGAATGAATACAGAACACCGTTAGTATGGCGAACAATCGACAATAAATTTTTGAAAGGAAGAAGAATCTTAAACTACAGGGTAATGCTAGTAGACCCATGTAACCCAAAACAGTCAGCTACTTACACCATCGATGACATGGCTAAAGCTGAATGGGTTAATGAGACAAACTGTACCTGGGAGTGGATTAAAGACCGACGACAAAACACAGGATCCGTAGAGACTGCATACGCTTGCAAATGGCTTTTCTCACAAAGCGAAACTTGTAAATCTCAAATTTCAGAATGCGTAAAAATTTACGACAAACGTCGCAATATTAGCGGCAATAAGACTAACGTGCCAGTATTTTCTAAGAGAAGGATGGCTTAAGATAATACAAGAATGTACAAAGGCGTCTAAACGCTCGAGACGTGGTTTACTGGCTGCTTCTATTTCGCTTTCTTCTTCTATTCGCTATTTATGTTTGGTGAAGGTTCTGTGACCAATGCAACCACTGTTTTGTCAAGTACAAAACCACAATCAAGCTCCGAAATAATTCATGATTTTATGAATGTATCTACCAAGGTATTAGCTGTACATCAAGACAATTTGAATACCTAGTTCGGTAGATTAAACAACTACAAATGAGCGTCGAGGAACTGCAAAACATATTATCCATGACAGCATTTATGGCGACTACTGTCACTTATAATTTGCACCATATGCAAGTTATCATGGCAGAAACAGCCACCAGTGCTTTAAACATCGGTAAAATATCCTATTGACAATTAATCGCTTCAAAATTGAATTACCATGTGGAAGCAAATGCAAAATTGACTCATGTCGAAAGCAAGTTGTTCAGCTTAAACAAACGAATGATGAAAACTTTCTGTCATTTTGATTTGATGTTGATGCAATAGCGGAAGAAATCGTTGTGCAAAAAGCAGATGCTTTCATACTCATTGAGGAGAAAAACGGTACTGAAATCTGTTTAAAAATATATGATGGTCCCGAATATGTCATAATCAACAAAACATCAACTGAACTCTGTGAAATCTCAAGAGAGGAATTTATCAATCAAAGCTACTGTAACAAAAATAGATGTTCAATGTTTACTCAACACAACTGTTAATGCTTATTTTAAATTAGCGATTTCTATTGCTCTATTTAAGCGCTTAAACATAATTACCATGTAACGCTAATCCATATGGTTAAACCAATAGGTTTAAGATGATATAAAAAGGCTTAAACTTTTAATAAAAAGCAGACTCCCTAAAAGAGTTTAAGTTGGTGGAGATACTGATGGTAAGAAGTTTTCTCAAGAATTTAGTGAAATTCAACTTAATTCAGTAAAATGATGATAAGTTAAAGTTTTACTTTTTCCTGTGTTCATTTTTTTATTATATTTGACAAAGTTAAAATACCCTACGAATTAAACTATTGAATTCAAAACTTGGTGAAATATTAAACTGATTTCCAATTTCAACTATTGATCAACAAACAAATTGATGAATTGAAATCCTGATTTATGAAATATTTAACTGAGCCACACGGTGAAAAGAAAGCTACTAATTGAAGTGACTATAAGTTAACTATTGTTTTAGCTATCGCCTTCTGCCTATTGTATCAGCTGAATTGAATCTTTTGAAAACCTCTTGCTATCTGCAATTTTGCATAAACATAGCTATAATTCTGACGCCAACAAAGCTTTTATTGGCCACTGAAGCTCAGAATTTGAACTGTCAATCGCTTTTACACAAACGCAAACAAAACACAACACACGCAAGTATTTTTCCTTGTTCGTCAGCATCCATTTCAATACTAACAGCTTCATGTTAAAGCTATTTGTAATATGGCCTAATGATATTACTAATTTTTGACAAAACACATAAACATTACCTTACATATCAATCCGTTCAATTAAGAATAAGACCTAAGTATTTACACTTTAGTCGACTCCTTACAACGAAGTGATTACTGATAAAATTTGATTCTTACAATTTGCTAAATTTTGACGTCTTTCCCTGCAAATAATGTCTATAACGGATAGAATTAGGTTACCAAAAAAGGTTATGTATACGTGCTTTTACTATGTATAAAAGCAAAAGGGATTGGAAAATAAAGCTTAGACTCCCTGAAAGAGTTTCAATGCATCAGTGAAGGAATCGTTTAAGCTCTCTACAACGATAGGGAGATGGAACTGTAGCAGAGTTGTCACGCTTTCTCTGTTCTCTGGTTTCTCTGACAGAGTTATATGATATTAAACCATAAGGATAGAAAGCAATAAAAAATGCTTAACGCCCTGAAATATCCGCAACAATTTATTAAATGAAAGAAACTAATGAATTTAATGAAATTTATAAAATTTATAAGTTCAATATGTAGAAACAAAACGTTTGCTACTGATATTATTAGTAGTTATAGTAAAAGTTAATAGTTTCCCTGGTTTCTCACCAGGCCTAGTTTTATTGCAATCCATTTATAGGATGATCAGCTTTCATCAATGCTGGTAGTTCTTTGGTCTTTACGATTTCTTTCATCTTTTATAAATATCTATGTTGCAACGAGTTGTTTCCATTCTATTTTGTTGCTGGGGTGTGGCACTTATTTGCTTATAAGCTTAAAATTTTCATTTTCTCAAGGATCCTACAATGAAGAATGTATATGCTTAGATCTAACTTTTGCAATTCAATAAGGATGATCTACAGATATTCATGTTTTTATCATTCTGAGTAATGACTGAAATTCTGCTTAGATTCTGCTTAGGTCGTAGGCCACCGGAGCCTTATAAATTTGCTCTCATCGATGTTGTTCCCTTCTCTCCAGTCAGTATGTTTAAAAAAACTTGGATACAGTCTTCCATGGCGAAAATTCCTTGTCATAGAGGTACTACGACGCATCATAATCAGAGACAGT